CCTACCTGGAGGGCGAGTGCCTGGAGTGGCTCCGCAGATACCTGGAGAACGGGAAGGAGACGCTGCAGCGCGCGGGTACCAGGGGCCACGGGGCGCCTCCCTGATCGCCTGTAGATCTCCTGGGCTGGCCTCCCACAAGGAGGGGAGACAAATGGGACCAACACTAGAATATCGTCCTCCCTCTGGTCCTGAGGGAGAGGAATCCTCCTGGGTTTCCAGATCTGTACCAGAGAGTGACTCTGAGGTTCCGCCCTGCTCTCTGACACAATTAAGGATAAAATCTCTAAGGGAATGAAGGAAAGACGATCCCTTGAATACTGATCAGGGGTTCCCTTTGCCACCAGCAGCAGCCTTGGGCCCCGTGACTTTTCCTCTCAGGCCCTGTTCTCTGCTTCACACTCAATGTGTGTGGGAGTCTTGAGTCCAGCTCCTCTGAGTCCCTCAGCCTTCACTCAGGTCAGGAGCAGAAGTCACTGTTCCCTCCTCAGGGAATACAATTTTCCACGGAACAGGAGATTCTCCCAGGTGCCTGTGTCCAGGATAGTGTCTGGGTTCTGTGCTCCCTTCCCCACCCCAGGTGTCCTGTCCATTCTCAAGATGGCCACATGCGTGCTAGTGGAGTATCCCATGACAGATGCAAAATGCCTGAATTTTCTGACTCTTCCCATCAGACCCCCCCAAGACACATGTGACCCACCACCCCGTCTCTGACCATGAGGCCACCCTGAGGTGCTGGGCCCTGGGCTTCTACCCTGCGGAGATCACACTGACCTGGCAGCGGGATGGGGAGGACCAAACTCAGGACACGGAGCTCGTGGAGACCAGGCCTGCAGGAGATGGAACCTTCCAGAAGTGGGCAGCTGTGGTGGTGCCTTCTGGAAAGGAGCAGAGATACACCTGTCATGTGCAGCATGAGGGTCTGCCCGAGCCCCTCACCCTGAGATGGGGTAAAGAGGGAGATGGGGGTGTCATGTCTCTTAGGGAAAGCCGGAGCCTTTCTGGAGACCTTTCGCAGGGTCAGGACCCCTCACCTTCCCCTCTTTTCCCAGAGCCGTCTTCCCAGTCCACCATCCCCATCGTGGGCATCATTGCTGGCCTGGTTCTCCTTGGAGCTGTGGTCACTGGAGCTGTGGTCACTGCTGTGATGTGGAGGAGGAAGAGCTCAGGTGAGGAAGGTGTGAGGAGTGGGGTCTGAGATTTCTTGTCTCACTGAGGGGTTCAAGCACCAGGTAGAAGTGTACCCTGTCTGGTTACTGGGAAGCACCATCCACACTCATGGGCCAACCCAGCCTGGGCCCTGTGTGCCAGCACCTACTCTTTTGTAAAGCACCTGTTACAATGAAGGACAGATAGATCACCTCGATTACGGTGGTGATGGGACCTGATCCCAGCAGTCACAAGGGAAGATCCCTGCTGAGGACAGACCTCAGGAGGGCAGTTGGTCCAGGACCCACACCTGCTTTCTTCATGTTTCCTGATCCCGCCCTGGGTCTGCAATCACACATTTCTGGAAACTTCTCTGGGGTCCAAGACTAGGAGATTCCTCTAGGACCTTATCGCCCTGACTCCTTTCTGATATCTAACAGAACATTTTCTTCCCATAGGTAGAAAAGGAGGGAGCTACTCTCAGGCTGCAAGTAAGTATGAAGGAGGCTGATCACTGAGATCCTTGGGATGTTGTGGTTGGGAGCCCATGGGGGAGCTCACCCAGCCCACAGTTCCTCCTCTAGTCACATCTCCAGAGGGATCTGACCAGGTCCTGTTTTTGTTCTACTCTAGGCAGTGACAGTGCCCAGGGCTCTGATGTGTCTCTCACGGCTTGTAAAGGTGAGATCCTGGGGGGCCTGATATCTGTGGGGTGTTGGGGGGAACAGTGGACTCAGCTGTGCTATGGGATTTCTTTGAGCATGTGATGGGCGGTTTAAAGTGTCACTCCTCACTGTGACGGATGTGAATTTGTTCATGAATATTTTTTCTATAGTGTGAGGCAGCTGCCTTGTGTGGGACTGCGAGGCAAGGTTTGTTCCCGCCTTCTCTTTGTGACTTGAAGAACCCTGACTTTCTCTCTGCAAAGGCACCTGAATGTGTCTGTGTTCCTGTAGGCATAATGTGAGGAGGTGGGGAGAACACCCCATCCCCGTGTCCACCATGACCCTCTTCCCCACGCTGACCTGTGTTCCCTCCCCATTTATCTTTCCTGTTCCAGGGAGGTGGGGCTGGGATATCTCTATCTCTATCTCAACTTCATGGTGCACTGAGCTGTAACTTCTTCCTTCCCTATTACAATTAGAACCTGAGTATAAATTTACTTTTTCAAATTCTTGCCATGAGAGGTTGATGAGTTAATTAAAGGAGAAGATTCCTGAAATTTGAGAGACAAAATAAATGGAAGACCTGAGAACCTTCCAGAGTTGACGTGTTTCTTGTGCTGATTTGTTGCAGGGGAGGAGAGTAGATGGGACTGTGCCCAGTTTGTGTTCCGGCCACCACAGGCTTTATGTGGTCACTGCTTGGCTGCGTCATCTTTGCTCCTTCATTGTCCTTGGCCCTTCAGTAGAACCTTGTCCCACCAAGACCTGTGATCACAGGGAGTTGGATGTCACCTAGGGCGGTCCCTGCATACAAATCTCCTTGTGGTATCAAGAGACAAGTTTTCAGACCTGTCTAGATCTTGCCCTCCTCCCAGCGCTCTTTCCTGGATTGTATTTTCCATCTTGTCTCCAGTCATTTTAAAGGAACCGGATTCTGAAATTTGCAGAGAGGATGGGTCCCCTAGTTTCTCATCACAGGTAACCTTCTGTTGGAGCTCCTCTTCTGCTGTCCTACTCATCTTCCTGCCCTGAGTTGTAGTAATCCTAGCGCTGGCTCCAATCCAAACTCATGAATGTATAAAGCAGAGTCTAATTTAGATTCATGTGTGGTTGGAAAATTGTACCCATAAAGCTAGGGTTATTGTTCCTGAAGAGAAAAATATGGTTGTGTGCTGCAGTGTGCAGGAGGATTGGTGTGGGAAGAGGGGAAAGGAAGGGAGGACGCACAAGCAGCCCTGGTGAGAAAAGCACTGGCGTCATCGATGTCCACGTGAAATGATGTTGTTCTTTAGCTGCCACAAAACAGCATTTACCCCGACGCTACATTAATAAAAATATTGGCTTTAGAATAGGGAGGTGCTCTACAGTGATCATTCATTCCAATGACATTTGTTGTCTGCTAGGGATATGACTGCTTTTGCATTTAGAAAGCATCATTAAAGTAAAAACAGAAAAATTTCTGGGGTTGTGGTGCATACGTTCTAGATGCAAGCTTGTCCAACCTGCAGCTCGTGGGCTGCATGTGGCCCAGGACAGTTTTGAATGTGAGGAGTTTTTGATTCTCTGTGGCGGACCTGAGACCTGGAGTGGGTGCACCCGCCTCCCTCAGGATCAGGAGTGAATGCTTTAGGAACACTCCTTTGCAGTGACCTGCAAAACATAGAGGGCACGGTGACTGTGAGAACCCAGAGTAGCAGCCAGGGGGCTCGGCCCTCAAGGAGTTGTGGGGAAGGTTAATAAAAGGTGGTGTCCCAGGGTCAGAACAAATGGGCGGCCAGCGAGGGCACTGCTTCATATCTATGATGAGAATGCAAGAATTGAGGAGCAGGAGGCCGAGGGTGTTTGACCAAATACAAAGTCGTGATCCCAGTCTCAATTCCCAGACTTCAGCCAAGCTTCAGATTCAGAATCCACAGCGGGGCTTAAGGAGGCCAGGAAATAAACCTGGACACACTATGGCCCACAGTGGGACCCCTGGGTCCATAAACCCAGTCCTGGTTATCTCCCCATTCCCCACATGCATAATTGGCCTTCATGCACTGGCAACTTTGGTCACCCCCACACTGTCTCCCTAGTCTGGAGAGTAAGGGCTCTTATTGTGCTGAAGCCCAAAGGGAATCCTCTAAAACTTCCCTCATCCCAGCCTAGCCAGAAGCAATATTGTGCCCCAGGTGGGACTTCTGGAGAGTACAGTAGGGGTAGCACTGCCATTAGAGATCTGAAGGATGGGGTGATGTTGGGGTTGCCTATTATCTCCATATAAGTCAGCCATCTGTCCCTGAAGAAGCCTGATATGGATCAAGAATGAATGGAATTACTCCAGACTTGACCAAGTAGTCCTGATTGCAGCTGTCATGGTGGCTGGATATCAGTACTTGGGGAGATTGGTAATCTCTCAGGCACATGGCAGGCAGCCATGCATTTGGTGAGTGCATTCCTTCCATTCCATTTAGAAAATGAACATGGAATGATTCACATTCACATGGGATTTTTAATACATTTATTGATAGCTTCCCTCAGGGCTTCCTTAACTCCTCAACCTTCTGTAAATATCGCCTTCAGAGATCTGGACAAATCAGATATCTCACAGAATACTAAATCTGTTCATTTCATTGGCAATATCACATAAATCAAGATGGATGAGCAAGAAGAGGAAAGTACGCTGAATTCCTTGGCAAAACATGTGCACTACAGAAGGTGAAGATAAACCTTAGAGAGCTTCAAGAGTGGCCACTACAGTGAAGATTTATGGGTCCAGTGGTTACAGGCATGCAGGGCTCTCTCCTCCAAAGTAAAAGACACACTTGCATCTTGCATCCTCACCACAAGGAAGGATGCACAACACCTGGTGGGCCTCTCTGGGTCCTGGCAACACCGCATTCCACATCTGAGTATATTGCTTTGGCCCACTCTCCGGGTAATATAGGAGACCAGCTTTGAGTGGGGCCTGGACAAGAAAGGATACTGCAGCAGACCCAGGCTGTGGTGCTGTCAGTCACCATCCCTCAGATCCTTGGTGCTGGGGGTGAGAGGGAAAGATGCAGGATGGAGCTCATCCAAGCAGCTGAGATCAAGTGAGCTGAGATCATGCCCCTACACTCGAGCCTGGGCAACAAGAGCAAAACTTCATCTCAAAAAAAAAAAAAAAAAAGACAACTAAATGGAAAAGCCGCCTGCTGCATCAGAGATAACACTCCTACACATAATGTGCATCACAAAAGAATACATAGAGTGTGAGTTCTCTGTAGGTAGAAGTTAAAAAAACGGGCCAAACTGTGATTTGGGTATATATATGCTTATTGTAAAAATCTTTAGTGACAATGCAAAGGAATAGTAAATGCAAGACTCAAGATATAGGTTCCTTTTTGGGGATAGGATTGGACAACCATCTAGGATGGCTTCATAGGTTCTGTTTCTTATGCCAGGAGGGGGTGCCCAGGTACTTAGTTACTTGATCATAAAACTACTTATTTATTTATTTATTTTGAATCTCGCTCTTGTTGCCTAGGCTGGAGTGCAGTGGTGCAATCTCAGCTCACTGCAACCTCTGCCTCCCGGGTTAAAGGGATTTTCCTGCCTCAGCATCCCGAGTAGCTGGCTGGGATTACAGGCACGCGCCACCACTCCTGGCTAATTTTTGCATTTTCAGTAGAGACGGGTTTCACCATGTTGACCAGGCTGCTCTCAAACTCCTGACCTCAGATGATCCACCCACTTCAGCCTATGAAATTGCTGAGATTACAGGCATGAGCCACTGCTCCTGGCCCACCAAAAAAAAAAAAAAAAGTGACATTTTTCAAAATGCACCTGTGTGCCTTTCCTGATTGATTATGTGGAAATGAAAGAGAAATGAAAATACCAAAGTTCATCACAAGGATCCTTAGCGATAACTGCTCTTAGTAAAACAAAGCCGCAGTTGGCTGGGCATGGTGGCTAACCCATCTGTGATCCCAGCACTTTGGGAAGTGAGGTTAGATCACGCCCCTGCACTCCAGCCTGGGCAACAAGAGCGAAACTCTATCTCAAAAAAAAAAAAAAAAAAAAAAAGAATTAAAAGGAAAAGCACCATGCTGCCTCAGAGATAACTCTCCTACACACAACATGCATCGCAGAAGAATACATAGAGTGTGAGTTCTTTGTATGGGGAAGTTAAAAAAAAACAGGTCAAACTATGAGGCTGGCAGATAACAAGATCAGGACGTCGAGACCAGTCTGACCAACATGGTGAAACCTTGTCTCTACTAAAAATACAAAAATCAGCTGGGTGTGTTGGTGGGTGCCTGTAATTCCAGCTACTCAGAAGGCTGAGGCAGGAGAATCGCTTGAACCGGGAAGGCAAATGTTGCAGTGAGCTGAGATCGTGCCACTGCACTCCAGCCTGGGCGACAGAGCCATACTCCATCTCAAAACAAACAAACAAAAAAAAACAAAAAAACAAGCCACAGCCAATTGTAAGGACCATGTGACAGAGAGGACCAGGATGCCATGAAAAATAGACTTGGTTAGAAATAGGTCATTTGATCCTTGGCTAATTGGCAGCTCTCTACATTTTCTGATATACAATGTTCGATTTGATGTGCAAGGCAATTGTATCTTGCAAATACTTTGAGAATTTGATATGTTACTCACTTGTTACCACACATACAAGTGAATTAAACTTATACAGAATAGAAAAAAAGCATTGTTGAGCAAAATAATAAAATAGCAATAAGAATGGAAAACACAAAAGAGCTGCTTTTAGAAGCACAAAATAACAGTGTTTTTCAGAATCATATTGGAGTCCAAATCATTTCTGTCACATCTAATTAAAAAACACAGTGAAAGATGTTAAACGGATCATAGGATGCTCACTGAATAGCCAGTTATTGAAAAATCTTATCCCTAGATTGAAGTTAACCATTTCCATCTACCACATCAGACCAAATCACTATCATGATGCTAACTAAGCTAGTTACACAGGTAAAGATGTGAGACTCACAATTTTCTAACTGCAAAGCACCCTGATTAGGCAAATATTTTTGTAGATGCTTGAGTAAGAAAATATGCATTTTGGCCATTCTTAAACTGAATTAGAAACTTCTGAAGAAAAACAAAGGTAGTTATGATTTTAAAGGCATTATTTTATGGCACCAAAGTCTTGGGACTCTTTGATCTAGCTACTGTATTTTTCTCAACTTTGTTGCAACTCATCAAAGACAACATTAATATTAAAGTCATTTGCAAAAAAATTCTGAGATACTGTTCTATCTCCTTTCTCTGTCTCAAATTTTTAATCATTACAAAAAAGAATTTTAAACTATTAAAGAAAATTAGTCAGATACAAGAAGTATTTGATTTACAAAATCCTGAAACAATAATGTTAATTTTGCTGTTAACATGCATATAAATTCTTTGATTCTCCTCCTTTCCAGAGGTGCAGCTTCATTCCCTCCCTGTGAATGAGGCCTGGACTTAATGACTCACTTCTAACTGATAGAGTAATGCTGACATAATAATCTGTGACTCTGGATGTAGAACACCAGATTCACTGCAGCTTCTACTTTGGTTCTCTCTTTCTCTGGGATCATGAGCCCTGGGAGAAGCCAGCTGCTGGTGTCAT